GATCTCCAACTCCATGGGATCGCCTACTTTCATCTCATACTTCTCATATATTTTCTACCGTCCATTTTACACACATAATTTTTGCTAGCAGAGTAACTCAAGATTCGATACTCTACTGCATACACATTAAAAATTCACCCAACATCTCCAATTCAAAACTTTCAAGTACAATGATTCAAGGCTCGATACATGACACCAAATCCTGATGCAAAGCTTGACACATAACCACAATTTCTAAAGTAGAGCTCAATACATGGCCCGAAAGCTCAAAACTTAAACCATTATCTAACTCCACCATCATGGACGAGAGCCATTATGTTGTCATGTTATTGCCTTACATTGTATTCTTCAACAACCGTCCGTCTAAGCTCAAGTGCCAACTTGTGTTTTTGATATGATGTGAAGGTGCTCTGTCTCTCACTTCTTCCCCCTCTTCATGGCATATGCAATATCATTCTTGTCCGGTCTCCTCAAAGGCCTCCTTAAAAATGCTTCGATCAACGTCTCTCCTTGCAAGTATGTTTTTTCTAAAACAATTTGGGCATTTTTCATATATTTGTAGTTCAAATTTGAAATATATCCTTTAAATGCATAGACATTTACTTATTGTCTTAAAATCAACAAAACACTAATGCAAATACCCTTATTTGTGGATGGTAATCAATCATGCATCGTCAGGTGCACACCACTCATAAGAAGGAAAACTATCAGTGGATTGTGCCAAAGAGGGCACACCACTTGAAGTTGGTTACAAGTGGTGAGCATAACAACCCGCATGGCACTAGTAGTGGATTCTATAGAAGTGGCATCCACGCGGTTTTGCACAACACCGTTGTAAGCCATAACCGTGATGTGGGCCCAGCCATGCACACCAATGATATTGTAAATTTCTAGAGGTACTCACATCATTCATCCCCAATCACCTCCCATTCCACATGACAAATGCCACCCTCCCACCAACCTTTAAAAAAACAATTCCTAAAGCCCGGCACCCCAACCACATCCCCTTTCTTGTTGTCAGATATGCCCCAAATGTATTTATAATTTTAATATGTTAATGCTTCTTTTATATCACCATTGCATCAGTTTGGCACAAATTTTTATCACCTTGTCCCCCTCCTCCAAGCATTCATGGTAAGTTTGGAAAGGTTGGGGTCCAAGATTACACCATCAAAGATGCAACACTCTTTACGATCACACCCAAAAGCTGGCAACACCAGTCACCACTAGCAAGAGCGACGGCCTAACCACACGCTCGGGCACCACCCACCTGCCCAACAAAATTACGGGTAGTCAACACCACAATGTGTGATGCACAGAATGCTAGAGCGTCTGTGAGGACAAAGCAACCTATCGCCTAGGCCAGGTAAGCCCAGCAGGGAACCCCGTTATGCAGCAGATCGAAGAAGGTGCACAAAGTAGCTCACAATAAGGGAAAACAGCTAGGCATGTTACCAGGAAATGGTTTGAAGTGGAGGTCAAGTTGAAAATTGAATGCGGGTCGTCGTCACGTCCAAAGCAGGGCATTTAGGGGATGTGGCGGAAGACCGAGAGCTAAGACCTTGGTAACCGAACGCTTGGTCACCACCACTCGCAAAGTAAGAGTAATTGTAGTTGACAACACAAATGATGTAAAAACAAAATGTGAAGGTTCCAACAAGCTCGGGGCTACCACCGTCAAGATCAGGGGTGCCTAGCAAGAACCGCGTAATGCAGCGGGATCACAGATGACGCACAGGGCATCTCGTAGCATGGAGCAAGAATGCACAACCAAGAAGAAAGAAACTGATTTGACATGAGGTTAACCGGGTAGGGGATTGGGGCCATTGTCAT